CTCCTGAGCCCAAAAATAACATATGTTGCATATGCATTTTAGGCATACCTAAGAGCATTGCATCCATCTCATCACATATATGCATAACTTTTTCAGGTTTTAGCTAGAGTCAAGTTCAACTTCACAACGAAGGGACGGCTGGTTGCCAACAACAATTTCCCAATTTCGGAATCGATTTCAACTCCACGACGGAGGATATCGTGCTACCCGAGACAACACAAGTTCAACTTCACAATGAAGGGACGGCTGGTTGTCAATGAACAACTTCCCAATTCCAGAACCGATTTCAACTCCACGACGGAGGATATCGTGCTACCCGAGAAAACACAAGTCCAACTTCACAACGAAGGGACGGCTGGTTGTCAACGAATAACTTTTCAGTTTCATCCACGATTTCAACTCCACGACGGAGGATATCGTGCCACTCGAGACAACACAAGTTCAACTTCACAATGAAGGGACAGCTGGTTGTCAACAAACATTTTTCAAATTTCAGAGCCAATTTCAACTTCACAGCGAAGGATATTGGACTCGAGACAACACAAGTTCAACTTCACAACGAAGGGACGGCTGATTGTCAACAAGATTTCGTTCAGAGTCAATTTCAACTTCACAGCGAAGGATATTAGACTCGAGACATCACAAGCTCAACTTCACAGCGAAGGGGCGACTGACTGTCAACAAACAATTTCCCGGTTCCAGAACCAATTTCAACTTCACAGCGGAGGATATTGGACTCGAAACAATATTTGGATTTCAATTTCATGGCGAAGGATATCCAATTCTCAGGCTCAACTTCACGACGAAGGGGCCCTGTACGATTCCAATTTCACAAACAGATTGACCCAACTTCACGACGAATGAGTCATCTGTAACGCATCAACACTGAAGTCTTCAGGTCAAGTTTCACCTTCACGATGAAGTATCTTGATCCAGAAGACGATTCAAAGGCCACTCGCCAAAATCTTTGAGTTCGATTCCAACTTCACGACGAAGGATATAGTGCTCAGAAGCTTCCAGATGAACTCGACTTCACGACGGAGGAGTCATCCGTAACTCAATTCGACAGGGAGTTATTGAAACATCAGAGTCAATTTTCAACTCCACCGAACGAAAAGTGTGTATTTCAATCTTTGCCCTATCCCCGTTACACGACTATGGGCAAAGAGGGGCAGCTGTCAACACACCTTTTTCGTCCTACTAGGATTCAAACTCTCAAAAATAGGATAGAATTCTACTAGGATTCAACTCCTAAAAATAGGATAGAATTTTGCTATGTTTTAAACTCCTAAAGATAGGATCCACAAGCACTATAAATAGCCATTGTAGCTCACTATTGTAACACACGATGGGCATACGAAATTACCAAAAAAAAAATACGAGCAAATAGATTGTTTTGAAGCTATTGTAAACAATTCATGAGCAATAAAAGGTGAAAGCTTTTACCTTTCGCATTCTTTTCTTCACTTGCATGTGTTGTTATTCGTCTTTGTGCTTGAAAAAAAAGAGTTTTGGCCGAGGAAAAGGGGTTGTCGTTCGAAACTTTTCTTTTAGATCTACACAACCCCGAGGCCGTTTTGGAAAAATACTAGAATATTTAAAATGAGGGAAGGAAAGGCTTTTAAAAATCAATTTTTTTCGAGGTTTGCCGCCGATGAACGGTCCCTTATGTATTATTTTCATATTTTTATTTATTTCTTTTTGATAATTCGTATTATTAAGTATATATATATTAATTATTTTTATTCTAATATTATTTTAATGTTTTTTAAAGTTATTATATATATATATTTATAACTATTATATTTATTATTATTTTACTATTAACGTATATAAATATATTTTTCTCTTTTGCTACTATTATTATCATTATATGTATATTTTTTATTGTATTGTATTTTATTTTTTATTTTTATTTTTTTAAACATATGCATATATATACATTTAATTATATTTTTATATTTTATACTTTTTTATTTTTTTGTTTTCATGTATTTATATTATATTACATTATTATTATTTTACTTTATTAAATTATTTTTTTCGTTATTATATTTATTATATATATATATTATATCATAATGTTTTTTTTGTTTATTCATTCTTACTATATTATAGGGATACATCACACTCATTTATTAACTACGGTCCTAACTCTTATCGTCTTTTTCCTTCCCGACAGTTATACTTCACCAAACCTTGACTTTCTTTTTTTACTTTCTTTTGGTGTAATTGCGTTTTTTTTATTTTACTACTTATTATCATTATTATTATTTTGCACTTAATAATTATATATTTTTATTCCTCTTTTAGTTTTTCATCATTTTTTTTATTTTTTCCCTTATATTTTCTTTATTTCATTTACTCTTATTTCCTTTTTCCTTTAACGCGTTTCTCGACTTTTTAAGGGTACTCTTTCAAATTGATCGGAGGTAAGTAATTTTGGATCATATGTTACCTTTAAATTTTAACTTTCGATTTTCTTAATTAAAAATAACTGGAAATTACGTAGTACCGAAAGAGCGGTTTAAGGGTGCTAATCCTTCATTGACCGTAACCGACTCCCGAATCCGACATATCTTTGGTAAGACGCAGATCAGGTAAGATATAAGGTATCCGATTAACCTATTTTTTTAAATAAATAATCGGTGGCGACTCCAATCACATTTTTCAAATCAAAGCCCAATTCTGTGGCCCAACCGAAAGACGGTTACGACAGATAATTATCTATATTATCACGTTGAAATCTTATTGAAATCATGTTGAGTTCTCTGGCAACATAAGTTCAAATGTGTGGCAACAATGCCTGCTTGTCCAGAGATTCCAGATTCTTATTTTGAAGATATTCAAGATGTTGAAGCTGTGAAAGTTTGACATGTGATCTCTGATGTGCTGTTTCTATAATTCAGCGTTTTGGAGAAGGCCTGATTGTTTGTGAAATGAATATTTGAGCATAAAAAACTAACTAGGGAAACGTTTTCTAGCACGAGTAGAACTAGAAGACTTTTGTGATGCTTAGAACAGATCATGTTGATTGGCAGATTGCTAATTGTCCTTTTTGCTTGGTGCTGAGATATTTTGTAACCAAAATATATTGTATTTAAATTTATATATATATATATATATATATATTACGATCTAACATTCTTTTTGATCTTTTTTAGGGATAATTTTAACTAATCAAAGGTAAATGATTTGAATCGAGTTTTTAAATTTTAATTTTAATTTAATTTTTGCAATTAAGACAACCGACAAATTAATTGGTACTGAAATAACAGTTCAAGGGTGCTAATCTTTCCTTAACTGTAATCGACTCTCAAACCAGACACATTTATGATAAAACACAGATCAGGTAAGATGGTGTCCGATCTACCTAAATATTTTTAAAGTGATCGATGGTGACTCTAACCCACTCATTTTAAGTCGAAGACCAGTTCCGGACTCACTACCGCGACAATATTATATCTTCTGAAAATATGTGTTAGTACAGAAAAGTCAAGCAACAACGATAATGATATATAAATATGAGAATTTTCTGTCATCACTCATTAAATACATATTAATATGTAAAATTGTGTTTCGTGACCCAAACTTTTTAGAAAATAATTGAACGTAAATATTTTAAAATATGGTATATATGCGTAATAAACCCCGAAGAATCCAACCCTTTTTTTGACTGCCTCTTCAGATTTTGAATCGCTAAAATAATGTTTTATAGGCAAAGAAGGTACCCAAACCTCCTTTAAATATTTTTTTAATGTTAAGATATGAATTTAATTTAGTATGTGAATTTAAATTAAAATATATAAAATATTAAGAATTTACATTTAAATACAAAATATATACCTTATAGTATACCTTAAACCAAAAATGCAAGTTAGCTCAATGATTGATCACTCCCACTTTGAACCAAGGATTCTAGGTTCAAACCTCCTTATAAATATTTGTTGTGCATTTTATTTTCTTTCCACATAAGATGACATATGTCACCCTCTTATTGGTGAAAAATATATTGAATTTAAATAATTTATAATATAATTAATCATCTAATTGGATGATGACACGTGGCTTTATCTGATTCAATGATTAAATTTATTTTAATTTATAAAAGTTAGGAACAAATTAATATAATATATAAGTAACAATGACTATATGTGTAATTATACCAAATGTTTTAACAGCCATGTCACCATGTTCGTTAAATGTTAACGATTAGTGATTTAATTGAATATAATTAAATGGTTAAGTGGTAGGACTGACAAAATTAAAAAATCGATGGTAAAAGTAAAAGGACTAAATAGTTGAGTGGTTAATGGTATAGTTTACCTATATATTTTTAAAAACATTTTTTTATTTTTTATAATTTATAAGCTATCATTCTATAATCATGATATATATTCAATTTTTTTAATTTTTTAATAATTTTAATATTTCTAATATGAATATTCAGTTTTTTTTAAAAAATAATTTTTATTTTTATTTTATTTTTTGAATATTTTAAAAATTTTATATTTATAATTTAAAATATTTTTATTTTTATAAAAATTTAATAAACCCTTAAACTTTTTGAACAAATTAATTTAACATTCGAACAAGAAAATCTATTTAATTCATTTGTCATATCATCTGATACGTCATCAATTTTAGTGGATTGTTACGTCGACAACATGAATTATTATATCAATAATGTAACAGTCAATGACAAAAAAATTGATCAAAGAATTAAGTTAAATTTGATTTTTGAATTTAAGGATTACAATAATATGAGATATATATATATATATATATATATATATATATATATATATATATATATTTATGTACATGGGCTTTGGCTAAAAATGAATATATAAGTTTTGTCAAGTGTGGTAAGCACTAAATATGTTTAAAATGCTAAGACTTTATTTTATTTTGAGTAATAATAGCGTCTGCAAAAAAAGGACAAAAGGGTAAGGAAAAAAAGGGGCGGCGAAGCAAAGGCGCCAAATTTCCAGGGTGGTTGGTGTGGCGTCTCGGCGTTGTGAGAATTCTCTGTTTTTCCTATAAGTTTCACTTGATATCCCATATCTTAAAACAAAACACATAATTCTTCTTTGTTTTTTCGTAAATTGATTCACTGGTTATGCTTAGTTTCTCATTATAGAGACCAATAACAACAAGACCCAGATTCAGATTTTGCTTCGTTTTGTTGCGAGTATATAAATTTTCTTTTTCTTTCTTTCGCTCTTTCTTTTATGTTATTGTTTCGATGAATTCTGAGATTTGGGTTTTGTGCTATGAATAAAGGTATTGTTTTCAGCTTTAACTTATCGTTTTGGAATGTTATTTCTTGGTTTTTTGTTGGATGAATGTCGAAGTCATTAAAATTTTTATTTTTTCCCTTTGACTTCTGAATTATTTTAATGCAAAACTTGAATTTTCTTTTGGTGGGCTGCTGTACTTTTCTCCCAAAACGAGTTTTATGAAGGGAAAAAAAACGGAGGACTAAATGCTTTCAAAAGTTTGATCTTCGCAGAAAAGAAACAAATTTTGTTTTTTTTTTTTGGTCTGATTATCTTGTTTCTCATTTTTTTCACATTGCAGAGGGGATTGCGATGGCTGCTAGTATAGCTTATATAGGTGGCCATTTGCAATATGGGGTGAACTTTTGCAAGGGGCAAAGTTATAAACAAGCTGTCTGGGTTCCTGGTGTCATATTCAATGGATGCCTTCAAAGAGAACTCTCATGGTATTTCTTAAGAATCTTGATTTTAGTCTATATTTGTTAAGTAAATGTTAGAGATTTTGTGAAGGATCTTTAGCTTTAATGTGGTGTTTCAGTTTTAAGCAAAGCGTCTAACTATATCCAGGGATTCCTTTTGGGAGATTTTTCAGGTCATGTGGGGTGTCCAAGTTTCTGCAGATCCGTCAGTGTAATTTGTTTCGATCTCCGTCGAACAAAAAATCGAAGTCCTTTAGGACACTCGCCACTTCGGCTTACTTGAGAGATGGTACAACAAAGTATTTCGATTTTGCTGTCATTGGCAGTGGAGTTGCAGGACTTCGCTACGCCCTTGAAGTTGCGAAACATGGATCCGTTGCAGTGATCACCAAGGCTGAGCCTCATGAGAGTAATACGAACTATGCACAAGGTGGTGTTAGTGCTGTGCTGTGCCCTTCTGATTCCATTGAGAGTCACATGCAGGATACAATTGTAGCAGGAGCTTACCTCTGTGATGAGGAGACTGTTAAAGTTAGTTCTGAATTCTTTCTTTAATTCAAGGTTAGTCTTCATCAAATCCTGACCGAGGTTTCCTTCAAATTTGGTCTATTTGTTCAGATTGTCTGTACCGAAGGACCCGATAGAATCCGAGAATTGATTGCAATGGGGGCTTCATTTGACCATGGTGAGGATGGAAATTTGCATCTAGCAAGGGAGGGGGGCCATTCTCATCACCGAATTGTTCATGCTGCTGACATGACTGGGCGAGAGATTGAACGGGCTCTACTCGAGGCAGTCATCAACGATCCCAATATTTCTGTTTTCAAACACCATTTTGCAATCGATTTACTTACTTGTCAGGTTCAAAGTTGCCCCCTTCATTGATGATAAATTTATATTATACCTTTGGCGGAGATTGACAATCGAGACATGTAGAAGATTGTGCTAAAACAAAAGGCTTTGATGGTTTGCAGGATGGTTTGGACACTGTTTGTCATGGTGTTGATGCTTTAAATACTGAAACACAAGAGGTGACAACAGGGTCTATCTTAATAGCTGTTCTCAACTACCATTCGTATCACGTTTCTGAATATATTCCATATATGTAGCTCGAAACCAATTATTCTTTATTTTTCTTTTCCCTGGTTCTTGCAGGTTGTCCGCTTCATTTCTAAGGTAACTTTACTCGCATCTGGTGGTGCAGGACATATCTATCCATCAACAACGAATCCTCTGGTACTCTTTGTTCCGATTTTCTCGATTCCATTGTTTCCTTTGCTTTGTTTTTTTGCTTTATCGCTTGAACCAACGCTAATTGATCCATTCAATATAAATGATTGGATTTGCACCATCTGAGTAGTTCATATTCTTGATATAGGTGGCGACTGGGGATGGGATGGCCATGGCACATCGAGCTCAAGCTGTGATTTCAAACATGGAGTGAGTCATAATAATCCATTCAATTAATTCTGTTTTTTCAAATGTCTTCTATACAAGATACAATGTAGTACTATTGTTGATGCAAAATCATTATATTAAATGAGATCATCTTTTGGTTTATGATGTACAAATAGATTTGGGTTGCTGGCTCTTCTTTTACTGTTTTTATTGAACAATTGTTTCTCAGATTTGTGCAGTTTCACCCAACAGCCTTGGCTGATGAAGGTCTTCCTATCAAGCCGAAGAAAACTCGAGAAAACGCATTTCTTATTACTGAAGCTGTAAGAGGTGATGGAGGCATCCTCTACAATTTAAGCATGGAACGGTTTATGCCCTTGTATGATGGGAGGGCTGAGCTTGCTCCAAGGGATGTGGTGGCAAGAAGTATCGACGATCAACTCAAAAAGCGCAATGAGAACTATGTGCTGCTTGATATAAGTCATAAACCGAGAGAAAAGATTCTCTCCCACTTCCCAAACATTTCTAATGAATGCCTCCAGCATGGCCTCGATATAACTCGGCAGCCAATTCCTGTGGTTCCTGCTGCCCATTACATGTGTGGAGGAGTCCGTGCTGGACTCCAAGGAGAGACGAACGTGCACGGCTTGTATGTAGCTGGTGAGGTCGCATGCACAGGCTTGCATGGAGCAAATAGACTCGCTAGCAATTCATTACTTGAGGCTTTAGTTTTCGCACGAAGAGCTGTCCAGCCCTCAATCGATCACATGAAGAGTTCTAATCTAGATCTCAGAGCTTCGGATTTGTGGACCCTACCCTTGGTCCCGAAATCACTTGGAAGTGATGTGATGCACAAAATACTGAGGACGACAAAGGAAGTGAGGAAAGAACTACAATCAGTAATGTGGAAATATGTCGGGATTGTCCGATCGACAAGAAGACTACAAGAAGCCGAGCAAAAAATCGGCGAGTTGGAGGCCAAATGGGAAACATACTTATTCGAGCACGGGTGGCAGCAAACAATGGTGGCACACGAGGCTTGTGAAATGAGGAACCTCTTTTGTTGTGCAAAGCTTGTGTTGAACAGTGCTCTCGCAAGGCATGAGAGCCGTGGACTTCACTACATGATCGATTTTCCTCATTTGGAGGAAAGTAAGAGGTTACCAACGGTGATTTTCCCGAGTTCCGGTACAACGAGTACGTGGAGTTCACGACAACTACACCAGCATTCGACATGTTAATCCATGATCTGGTTATTCCATCATAGCCTATCATATATCATTGAAAAACCTCTGGAAAGGAAATAGATCTTCCATTATATCATATTTGGGACAGCTTTAAAGAAAAGCTAAGGCTGTCCCTGTTCTTATTTCACCCATTTTAACTGTCTGATTCATTCCTGTAGAAATAAAGAAGTTTTCTTCCCAGTTTCAGAATGATTGCATGTATATCATGTTGGGATTGAAAGCTGCCTGTTCTTCTGGTAACCGTTGAACTGAAATTAAAATATTAGGCATACTGAAGCAAGAACATGTTACATTGTCGGCAGTCTGTACCTGCCTAGAAAGCTTCACGTCTCGAACTGTATGGACAAGGACGCTATTTGATGTCATGACATTGACTTGTGGGTTTTATCACTTTCAGCTTCCACGTTTTCTTTTTCTGGTTTTGATTGCTTCCACGTTATCAGTTCTTGTTATAGAGTCACAGTAATCAAATTTTTAGTTTGTTTTTACCTACTATTATTTTTTGCTGAAGTGACACTTAACTTCTATTAACTCCTCTTCTTTTGCTGCTGCTGCCTCTGATCCGTAGCTGCCATGCTGCTTCCTCTGATTGGTTTCCGAGAAAATCTTTGTAAACAATATTCCACCACTGGGTTTTCCTTACTTTTTTATCTAGCCTTGAAAAAATTTGTAATTTGAACTTCCTCAGCCAAGTTAACCAAGTTAAGCACATGGAGAGAGCTTTAGCTACAACAACGGAATCACCAAGATCCAAACTAGTCAAAATATTTCCCAGTCCCTCAAATTTATTGGGTTACTCTTCCCTTCATACTTAACAGAAAGTTCATAACATTCTTGAACCTAAACCAATAAAAAAGTTTATCACTGAAAATCACTGCACAAGTTTTAAAAACAAATTCTAGTTTTATAATCTTCCACACAAAAGTGAAATGAAAATCTCAAAGTAATACATAAATCTCCTCAATGATGAGTCTATGCATAAACCATAAACATTTCAAATCGAAACTTATACAAGTCAATGAAAAATCAATTGCTGATGAAGTATGGTATTGTCTTTTACAAAGAAAACAAATTAATACCATGAACTTGCATCGTGTTTTCAGCACCAAAATATGTCCTAAGCAAACACTAGAACCATTAAAAAAAGTAAAAAAAAAAATCGAACTTTCAGAAGGCAAATCGGAGCCCTCTTTCTCATTACAAATCAAAGTGTTTTTTGAAAAAAAGAGATACCGATCAAAAACCAAATTTCAAAAAAAATAAAAGAGTGAAACTGAAGAACAACATACATTTTCCTTAAGATCCTCGCCATGCAAGTCTCGAAGAATATCAAGAAATCGATCCAAAAGCAAAGATCATACTCTACCAACTTATCATCTTCGTTCTCTTTAGCAAGAACCAAAAGCCGTAGTTGTGCATCAATGGAAGCTAACTTCTCTAGCTTGCTGGAACTACTATTACTCGCCATACCCCACTTGAAAGTAGAAAAAACTTTTAGGTTTTCCTTTTTTTCCCTTCCGTGATTAAAAAAACAAAAATCAAATCATAAAAAAAGAATCAATCAAAGGAAACCCATTGGTGGAATATCGTTTATGAACACTTTCTCAGAAACCAATCAGAGGAAGCAAAATAGCAACAACCGAAGAAAAAAAATATCTTACTGAAAACAAACTAAAAGTTCAAAAACTGTATTATAAGTTTCAAAATTTGGATGATGAAAATATAAGCGTCTTAAAAGTTCAAAAACTGTATTGTATGTTTCAAAATTTGGATGATGAAAATACAAGCGACCTAAAAGTTTAGAGACTATTTATATATTTAATTAAATTTTGTTGGTAAACATTATATGCAAAACACTTAAAATTATAAAAATTGAAAATGATGAAAAATAATAGTTGGTTGACATAAATATGTTACTATTTTTCGAACAGTCATGGTTCAAAATGGTCTTATTGTCGTGTGTAAAATGTACTGGCTATATGTTGGTTTTATGAATAAACTGATTTATGAGAATATGCTTACTTTATTTAGGAAAACAGTGCACAATATATAGGCACTGAATACAAAGATGCTTAGCTGGATAGTAACCATGACCTCAGCATAACAAAGGAACATTCCTGAACAAACTAACAACCTAAGCCACGTCACTCTCACCATGCATGCATATTATGCATACCATATTCCAACATTCTAGCTGCTCTCTACTGATTACACGCGCAGTACTGCGTTGCATCTCATACGCCAACATCCTTGCTATTTTCTTCTGCATCAACAACAAGAACATTCCGTCGAAATAAAACATGAGAAGTCTTTGTCAATGGCTTAGTGAGACCATTTACAAGTTGGTGTGAAGCTGGAACGTAATTTACTTGGAGCATTTTATTGGCCACTTTCTCTCGAACAAAACACATAATAAGCTCAAGGTGTTTTGTCTAGGCATAGAAAACAGATTGGCGTTCATTGCGACCGCACTTATGTTGTCATTCCACACAAAAGGAACTATATCAACAGTTTCTCCGATATTTGAAAGGAGCGATTTCATCCAAACCACTTCAGAGACAACATCTGCGACACTGCGATATTGGGCTTCAGTTGTTGATTGAGCTACTGTTTTTTGTTTTTTTGAGCTCCACGAAATAAGATTACAGTCTAAAAACACGCAGTATCCTGAAATAGATCGTCGATCATCCACACTACTCACTCAATCGACATCAGCAAATGCAACAATGCATTTCTCTTCACCCGACAAAGATGGCTGAAACACCAAGCCAAGATCAATTGTGTCATTCAAATATAGCAATATTCGTTTGATTGCAGTTTAGTGACCTTCACATGGACGATGCATGTACTGATCAAAAGTAGTTTTAAAATGTTTGGTTAAGTACCTAGAATTCAATAATTTCACCTCATATTTGTTGGTTTTGGATGTGGAGAAAATCTCATGGCCATAACGTTTCTACAAGTTAATCCTTCCAGATGTTATAATTTTAGTAGGTATTCTCATTTTTCATGACCCTCGTGTCAGAGAGTTGATGAACATGAAAATATTTGTTGATACAGGTTAAATAATTAAATTTATCTTAGTTCATTGGCTGATCATATCCATTTGCAAGTTGTATATAATGATTGTCAACCTAAATTCTATTGTACACAGTGAACTATGGTATATATATTAGTTTTCTGACCAATGTCTGTAAGCTCCCTATTGTTAGGAGCATTTTAGGTTGGATGTATTGTCTGGGGCAAATACATCAATGTGCTGTAAAGTGTAAATAAAATTTGTTTTTTTTTGTTTAATTGATTTGTTTAATTTCAATTTGTGTTATGTTGAAGGCAAAAAAGACCTATTGAAGGCACACTAACTCGAAAATCGAATTCGCAATTCAAAAATCAAATTGGCAACACGAAAATCGAATTCGCAATTCGAAAATCAAATTGGCAACACGAAAATCGAATTCGCAACGCGAAAATCGATTTCGCAATTTGAAAATCAAATTCGCAACACGAAAATCGCAATTCGATATTTAAATTCGCAACGCGAAAATGAAAATCGAAATCGATTTCGAGTTGCGAATTTCATTTTCGTGTTGCGAATTATATTTTCGAGTCGCGAATTTTAATATCGAGTTGCGATTTTCGTGTTGCGAATTTGAGTTTCGAATTAGGAATTCGATTTTCGAGTTGCGAATTTGATTTTCGAGTTGCGAATTTGATTTTCGAGTTGCGAATTTGAATTGCGAATCTGGAGAAGTTCACAATAACCATTTTTTCTAGTTTCAATTCAAGGCAAACACCTTCAAAAAGTTAACATACAACAATATGATAAGTGATAATAACTGAACAGATCATAGCAATGTTCAAACTCAAGTTACTAGTTTATGTGATGTCAGGAGTACATCTTTATAATGCATGCCTAACTGAAAAAATATATGCATTCACACATAAAATACACATAATACAATGTTTGCATTAAAAAAACACCTAAGTTAATAGTCCCAAAAGGTGAAGACGGTTGTGATTGGGATTTTGATTTTGATTGCGATTTTGATTTCCTTTTGCTTGGCACCATATGAGCTTTGGATTTTGATGAGGATCCATATTTTGGTAGAGGAAAAGATGATTGTGATGGCACTGGTGATCCACAGGTCAACCTTGTATGACCACTTTCCTTGCACCGACTACATGTAGATATTTTCTTCTCTTCACCCTTAGACGGTATACGATCGTGATTTTTTGGTCGATCAGGTAGCCTTCTGTCCATGACTGGTGGCAAAACTGTTTGTAAGTCATCTGGTATGTCACACTCAGAAGGATGTGGAATAGGGTAGACAATATCAGCATAAGTCTGTCGATATACTTCTGTAGTGTAGCAATCCATAGCGTATGCCCTTGAATCATATTGGTTTAGATGAAGAGCAACTTTTATAACATGGCCACACGGATAACCAGATGTTTGTCATTTCATACAACTACACGTCTTTGTATTTAGATCGACAAGCCCATTTAAGTTATTATCCAAGACTTCAAACAAAGTGTTTGAACATTGTTCAACTCTCCATGAAATTGACTTCACAACATGTTTCGTTATCTTTTTTCAGTCCATGGTATAACACGACGTTCCAATGTTCCTGTAAATATAAATAAATAATACTTAGTAAAATCTATTAAATATGATAAGTTACGAATTTAAAGAAATAATACCTGCATGGTTTCTTTTCTTATAGTATCACTGTTGAATAGAGGCTCGAAAAAGCTCCATTAACATAGTAATGGGTAATTTTCGGGAATGACGACTTAGAGCATTGATTGATTCTGCACTATTAGACGTCATGAAACCATATCATGCTCCAAGTTGATGTACTATTGACCATCTTTCAAACCCAACATCTTCTAGTGTTTGAGCACATTGAGGCAAAACACGTCTTAAATAATTTATATGCTTATTAAAATCCACTTCCCGATAAGCTTTTACAGCATTCCAGTATGTTCATTTGTGATTTTTTATACCAGCAGACCTTGATTTTAGATTTATGTACAAATGAACACCACAAAGTCCATGAAAAGCATCTGGGAAACACCTTCTAATAGCGTTGTCAATTGAGTTTGCCCTATCGGATATAATTGTCAGATTGCTAATAAGACATATGCAATCCCTAAGATGCCCCATAAACCACGTCCATGAATTAGAGGTTTCAGATTTGCCAACCCCGTAAGCTATTGGCAGTATCCCATTGTTAGCATCCATGGCTACTGCTAATAAGTTTACTCCAAGGTATCGACCTTTTAAATGTGCTCCGTCAACTATAATAACTGGGCGCATGCAAGTAATAAACGAACGAATCTACAAAATAATATACACAAGAAATATAATCATTTAAATGTTAAATGCA